GGAAATTCGGTTTCATATGTTAAATGTGCCTCGAGGGTGCTGGGGCAGCCTAGCAACTGTCCCGGCCTCACCAGTAGAACTTAATTAAATCTTCCAAACCTGCTTCTAAGCCCTGTCCTTTCTCTTACAAGGAACAGGAAAGGAGCGTAAAAATACAGAGATGGCGAAATATTAAGGAAATTAGTAACATTCTCTCATTTAACAACTGCAGGATGGAGCATGAGTCACAGGATAATCATTCTCTCCTTCAGCCCTTTCAAATTAATGAAACAGCAGCAAAACCCACCTACTTGTAGGGACCTAAGGAGTGAATCTGGAGCACAGTTGGAGTGGCGGTCCCCAGTGGTTAGAGTGGCGGTCCCCAGTGGTTAGAGTGGCGGTCCCCAGTGGAGAGGTAAAAATTGGCAGCTGGGCACCGCAGGCTGCATATCCGTTCTGGCAAATATCTTCCCAGCCATAATTTCCTTTATCAACAGGTAGCAGAATTCACACTGATAAGAAGTCATTTCTTATTGTACAGTTGTACTTCAATGAACCAGATCCAGCTGACTTTCTTTTTGAGTACAGACTTTTTTAGAAACTTTGCCCCATAATAGTCCAGTGAATAGAGCTAACACGGGATTTTTGTATTACAGGTAAGGAGATAAACACTCTTCCCGCTGAGACTAAGGAGACACACTGGGGTCTCTGGGCAGACACATGGGCCCCCTATGAACTTGGTGTTTGGTGCTATGGACTATGACTTGATCCTAATAACCAGGGCTTGAGATTTATTCTCATCATTTAGAGATTTCTATGATTAGACTCTTAGTTTAAATGGAACTTTGTTTGTTGCAGTTAATTGCTTATTGATCCTCAAATATCTCCATATGCATTCATTCATTCATTCACTTATTTATTCAATGAGTGTTTATGGACCCAAGGAAGTAGGAAGAAAATTAAGAGGCTGGTGAAAGGAAAGTATTTCTTGAGACACTCTGTTGCTCCCACTTGTTATACAGGAAAAATCCAAAGAAAGTCTTTGAAAATAAATTCACCCACCTCCCCCACAAATATCTATATATAGCTATAGTTAAGTGGAAAATTTAGCTAAATCAGTTACATTATATATGCAAAATGCTGTTGGGCTGTCACTAGTGGGTCATGTTGAAGCTGATTGGCAATCTAGCCTCTTTTTAATAGAAAAGAAAACATTTAGATGCAAAAATCTACTGCAAAAGGCAAGTGATTGATATGTATTTATATCGCTGTACAACTTGGGTTTGAAAGAAACTTTGTTGGCATCCTTCTGCATTCCTAAAAGCATTTCAGGCACATTTGTTTGTATCTTTATTTTTAACACCTAGGCAATTAAAATTGCATGGGAGTGTCCTCTTATTAAGCAGAAAATTAATGTCTTTTTGAGCAGTTTTACTTAGTTAGGCAAGGGAGTCTGGACAAATTTCTTCAGTTTTGCCAGAGCTCCATTGTCTTAAGCCTGGCTCTGAAGACACCTTCTCCCCCCCATGGGTACCTGTGACCACAGGATTTTCCCTCCCCTCTGACCTCCTCCCTCCACCCACCTGTCAGGCTGCAAGTCCCTCCTTTCAACCTGAGCACGGTGAAGAATTGTCCCAGGGTCGTGTGCAGCGCTGGTCATCAGCAGGGCTTTGACTGACACGTGGGCTGGAGCCAGAATATCCATCCCAAGTCCTGTCCTTAAAGCTCAAGTAATAATTGTGGTAATTACAGAAGAGGCTTAAAATACAAATCCACAAATAGCAATGTGTAGATCTTACTAGGATCCTAATTTAAACAAGTTTTTAAAAAAATATCCTCATTTATGAGACAAATGGAAATTTGGACACCTTCTGGATATTTCATGATATTAAGGAACTGCTCAATTTTTTTTTTTCAGATAAGATGATAGGACTGTGTAGTTTAATCATAACCAATATTTAGAGATTCATGCTAAAATGTTTGCACATGAAATGCTATATTCAAGATTTGCTTTAAATGTTATGAAAGAGGGCAATAATTCTGTGCCACAATATTTATATTAAAGAATTTCTTGGTTCTTTAACAAATATTTTTTTCCCCATAGCAACCACTGATACACTTATTTTGCAGCTGAGTTTTTTGTACCTTAACCATGGAAGTATAAAATTAATCTCATATGAAAGAAGTATTTATTATTCTAAAATGTGACCATTTATCTTCCCATAGAACTTTATTTCATTCCTTTGTTGTGCACCAGGCATTGTTCCAGGCACTTGGGAGAGAGCTCTAGGCCCATCAGCTTGTAGTCTAGCAAAAGGGGAGAAGCCGTCAGGTCATAAACAATACACACAATAAAGAGATAAGCAAACTTCTGTGCCGGGGGGGGGGAAGATGAGCAGTCTAGGGTGAGAGGCAGCCTGGACAGGAGAAAAAGACCAGGATCTGCCGTTGGGTCTGAATTCCAACCTGGATTTCCAAGTACCAGCTAAGGGGTCTTGGGAGAGTGACAACCTCTATGAGGTTCCATGCTCCCTTTTTCCGGGTTATTGTGAAAACTAAATCAGATAAAGCCTGTAAAGCAACTGGCATATCATCGGCACTCAGCTGGTGGTAATGATGACTATATTTTCATGTGTGATCGCTCTGGTCTCCTTCCAAATTCAAGTACTGCTGAAACTTAAATGATGCTGGACTGGCGAGGCTGCGGCCTTGCGGAGCGATAGTGGTCAGTCCCCTTTATACTGTGTGCTGCCATCCTAACCCTGGGAGATCCAAATGTGGCCCCGTGGTCCTTGAAGTGGGGCTCATGGTTTCCCTGTCTGTCCCTAGAACTTGAGAACACAACCCACAACCTCTTGGCTAGTATTTTCATTTCACTTCTTTTCTTTTTTCATAGACTTCACTTTGTAGAGCAGTTTTAAGTCCACAGCGAAACCGAGGAGAAAGTACTGAGAGTTCCCATGACCACTGGCCCCAACACCAACGCCCCGACTGGCATTTTAAATTTTGTCAGTGCAAATCACAAACTCTGCCTATTTTCTAAAAAAAAATACAAGTAAAAAATCAGAGGTACAAATAAGCGTTAGGTGGTTTCGACCTTGAGTACGTATATTTATGGACGCAGTATAACTCCTTTATTCTTCCAGTTAATTGCTGAACAAATTGGCCCCTTCCTGAGGCTTCTGGAAATTGCCTGGAGGTGATCTTCATTCCTTGTACATAAACACTTCCCTGGGTACTTCAAGCGCTTCGCCCTGACTCCGGGGCCCTTGGAAGCCCTGTTTGATATATTTTTAAAAATACGTTTTTATTGATTTGAGAGAGAGAGATGGAAACATCAATGATGAGAGTCATTGATCGGCTGCCTTCTGCACGGGGCTCAAACCCACAACCCCGGGCATGTGCCCTGATGGGGAATCGAACCCTGACCTCCTGGATCCTAGGTCGACGCTCAACCACTGAGCCACACGGGCCGGGCAGAAGCCACCCATTCTTTCAGCACATCACTGAGCGCACAGGGCGTGCTCTGGGCAGTAGGGATGGCACCAGGGATGTCAGTGGAGACACGGCCCTTCCCATGTGAGGATGGACCCTGTTCTGTTGTGAGAGTGGCCCGTGCTGCAGGGCCATCGTGGGGGCTGATGGGCTAGACACTTGGCGGATGGCCGTCTGGGTGCTCGCCCACCCAGCTGCTTTTTTTACAGTTATGGTTTGTGTGTTTTTTTTAAATAGTAGAGAGACAGAGATAGCCGCCGCGGGGGTCTCCCAGCACAAGGCACTTACCCGCGCTGCGCTCCCCCCGCAGGCTTCGGCAGCGGCATGGCCTACCTGCCGGCCGTGGTCTCCGTGGGCAGGTGCTTCCAGCGGCGGCGCGCGCTGGCGCAGGGCCTCAGCACCACGGGCACGGGGTTCGGCGCCTTCCTCATGACCGTCCTGCTCAAGTACCTGTGCGCCGAGTACGGCTGGCGCAACGCCATGTTCATCCAGGGCGCCGTCTCCTTGAACCTGTGCGTGTGCGGCGCGCTCATGCGGCCCCTGGCTCCCGGGAAGGGCGCGCGGGGCGCTGCGGGGAGGC